GATGGAAATGGTGAAAGGAGCCCTTTTTCCAGGGGTGGACACACACACACACATGGCTTAACTCCAAATCGGCATCAGTTCTCGAGCCGAGTTGTTCTCCTCCCCACCCCATCCCCACGAAGTCTCTTTTTTGAGTTTGTTTGGATGCAGAACACACATAAAAAAAAATAAGCTCCTCCCCCCCCAAATCCTTGGGATTTGAAGATCAGAAGACCCTGAAAGCTCTGCCCTGGGCGGTGGCATGGATTCCCCGGCCTGGATCGCGTGCGTGAAGGCGAGCCGGTCGGCCTGGCAACGGCAAGGAATGGAAAACGAAGCACAAAAGAGCCCCTCGACCCAAAATACAACTAACTAACGAACGAACGAACTAACTAACAAAGTAACCAACCAACCAACCAACCAACCATGTTTTTTTTTTCTTCTCTCTCTCTCTCTCTCTCTCCCTCCCTCCCTGCCCCGGCTAGGTTGGGGGCGAGAAAGACACAACTCACTGACCCTTTCAATCGCTTCTTTCTTTCTATGCGCACAGTGTCAGTTGACTCAGAGCCAGGCATGGCTTGTTATGTAGGCATGGGGCCCCTTGACATGATCAGAAATACACTGCTCTGCCAACCTGTGGTTTGGGTAATAATTAGAAGGTAAACCACCGCAATTTCGGCAATCACCGTGGCGAAGGATTGAACAGTCTACAGTTCGGTTGCCTAAAGCGAATTCGCAGGGTTCATGAACTCTGGTACGAACTATTGAAACCATAATAGTCTCCATCTATAAAAATAACTATCTATATTTGGCATCGGGCCTGGATCTCTCTTTTGGCCCTTCACCAAAGCGGCGCCAAAGAGAGGCCACCATCAGTCCAGAACGAGAGATGTTCTCCTCTCCCGGCGACCTCGTCGGAGACTTGGTTGTCCTGGAAGAAGCCGTTCAGGTCGTCTTTGTGAAGACCTCAATGGCTGGCGCGGTTGGCGGACAGTGAAGGCCCGGAAGTAACTTCCCAAACACGACTAATGGGACTGGAATAGATTGGGGTAGTTTCACATTTCACGGGTCAATGTAGGCATACATACCATACATGGAGTGTTCAGGTCTATCCTCTTTAATTTCTTGTCTGTTTGATGGTGCCCTATGTTTAAAAGTTCAAAAGAACGACTATACAATACTATACATGCAACTACCTCAATCAAGAGTTCCCGTTGGGCATCTTCTGCGTGAAATTCAACTAGGCAGGTATTAGGGGGGTGTCGAATGGCGGATCAGGCTCAGCTTCAGGGACTGAAAGAATTGAACATGCAGAACACTGGACACAAGGACACAAATAAATATGCCTATAGAACCTATATGACCCCCTGTTTTGATAGGAAAAGACCATGTTTTGACTCCAAAACAGGGGTCACTCAGGTTCTAGTTGTATATTATATAGAACCTTCTTTCTAAAGAGTTTCTTGCTACTAATGACTAAGAAGCTTCTAAAAACATACTAACAGGTTTCCGGTTACTACAGGTGAAACTATTCCCAAGGAAGCCTTCTATATACAAATAGTATCAAATAGGTATATCGCTTGCATGCACAAGTGATCCACCCATCATATGTGCCATTTCTGTTGCGTTGCCTGCGTTGCGAAACTGCGTTGCTCCGATCCAGCAATTTCGGGTGCCCGACCGATCCGGGAAGGTGTGACGAGAATTCTCTCGCTGAGTGCCGCCACTACAGATCTGGTCCACGTCATCGTAATTGCGGAGCAGGGTGGCCTTCGCTCGAAACGCAACCGGCAGTGAGGTGGCCGGCGACGTTCAGGTCCCGAAAGGGATGTAGAGTTTGTGTACTAGTTTGTGTTTATCCTATTGCCAGGTTTCAGTGGATGATGATGGTTGGGTTGCAGGCCTTTCTCTAATATGTGATAATATTGATATAATTGTTTACTGACTGTTACAGGTAATAGGACAAACCCAATGCATTATAGTAGGCAATAGCATGAAAACACACACACACACACTCACCCAAAAAAGACACAGCGTGTTCATGTGTTTTCATCATATATTGAACGCCTACAGCCTTTGAAGTTTTCCCCTCACCAAAGCAGCTCTGCAAACCACGGTGGACTTGTCCGGGTAAACCCACGTCGACTTTCATGATCGATCTGTCGACCTCAGGCTGGCATCGGTGCCTGGTAGTGTTCCAGCCGCCATGCTCGAGACCAAGAAACGATGTCATTCGACGCCAGGTCCTGTCATTCGAGTTCCGTTTCGCGCGCGCGCGCGCGCAGCGCGCGAGCTCAAGAGTTTTCGGGCGATGTCTTGGGTGCGCCAACTTGCTGATGCCCAATCCCTTGGTGGGGGATCCCATGAAGTCGAGAACATGTGGCTCCCACCTGAATATTCCAAACGTTCTCACTGATCGGTTGGTGGTTCGGTTTCTGGTTTGGTCACTCCCAGAAGTGCCCAAGTAAGCACACATGTTTCCGTTCGTGGACAAACCGAGGCTTGCTGCAGCTTTCTGCTAGTGCAAGGCCAGGAGAGATCACTTTTACAAACAGTATTCCAAAGTGACGCGGCCTTTTCCCCCCTCAAGTAGCCGTTGAAAGATGCCACCCCCCAGACCCCTCCTGCCCATGTTTCCCCCATGTTCGACCCCGAGGCTTAGGACCCAAGAAATCCCAGCAACCAAGAGATCCACACGCTGCCCACAAAGGCAAGATAACACAAGACATGGCAAAACATCCCAGACACTCCATGGGACTGTCATATTTACCTACATTGGGGTGGTTTTTGGGGGGGTCAATGTAGGCATACTTGTAGGCATATATGGCATAGCGGCATACATGGAGTGTCTGGGCATGGCAAAAGTAACAAATGTCACTCTCCCCATGTTACAGTAGCATTCATTATACAGAGTCCTAAGAAAGTGTTCCACAAAAATGATATTCCAGTAAGCCACTGGGTTGGGGTGGAATAACCTGTTTGTTTGATTGGGTCTCATGTTTGCTTACTTAGTGATCTTCCGCCCCAATGTGCAAAGAACAGCACAACTGCATGTTCGCAGCTCCGCTAGCTGTCAAAGCCCACTTCACAGCCCATAACTACGCTTAAGATTCAGGTTCCTTAAACTACTTGGCGTTTGCCACATATCTACAGCCGCTTACGGTCCCTTTCAAAATCGCCACAAACGGCTCAAGCTACTCAGTTGTGGAGGACACCCATGATGCACACATTCACAACGATGTTCCGAATAAGTACACCTCCTGGACTCCAAGTTCACCCCTCTGCCTCTGAAAGTGATTGCGTTCCTCCCACTGGAATGTCCTCGAAGCGTCTCACCAGCGAGCACACCAGACTTTACATAGGGGTCTCAACATCGGGCCACATCGGATCATGAAGGCCTCAAAGGGGACGTCCATCTTGGGAGACCATCGGGATGAAACGCATACATTGTAGACTCTCGATTCATTCTCCGTCCATTTGAATTGGAAAGCTCCTCTTCATATGGGGGCTTTAGAAAAATCAAGAGTCTACATGATAACTCTTCTATCCAACTCTTCCAGTCCGGGTGGGTAAATCTATCCACCAGAATCAGTGGGGAGTTCTCTATCCAACTCTTCCAGTCCCAGCCGAGTCCACCACACCGCGCGGGCTCTGTCGGACGACGCCACGAGCACCACGCCGTCCGTCCCGACGCGAAGATCTCGTCGCATCCAGGGTGCCACGTAAGGCGTCACTCGTGGGGGTTCAGAGCCAGGGGGGGGCAGCGCCTCGGGCTTCGTGGCGAGTCGCGTGGGTTTTGTGTCGAACATGTGTGGGGTGAATGTGGGATGTAAGGCTTAGGACACTTGGAAGGAGGGGTGGTGTGGTGTGGTGGTGTTTTGTTCGAACTGAGGAGTGGGGAGGATGAGGACCAGAATGATGACAAGGAGCAGCACGATGATGGAATGGATAAGGATTCTGGACCATGACGTACCTGCGTCCTCAGAGGGGAAGGAACAAGCACTTCATGAAGTGACTCTTCCATGGTGTTTCATTACTTGGACCTGCTTTACTAAGGAACCGGGAAAAAGTAATAAATAGTAAAACAATATAAATATGTGTGATTTACCCATAAGATCTCAGAAGGAGATTAGAAAATCACCTTTCCGGGATTTAAGTCGTATCTCTTGCCCCTGTTTGTCTCTGGTCTTTTTTGGGGGACCTTGCCAAAGCTTTCGCACTTGTCTCTCAGATCGCTTCAAGGTCACGGGACGAACTCACAAAGGACTCAGCGGTGCGTTGTTGCGCAAAGCAGAAGAGAGAAGGTGTGCACATCGCTCGCTCGAAGTGGAGGTGAGAGATCTGCATTTGAGGAGCGGAGACCAGTGAGGAGAAGCCCAGTGAGCGGACAGAAACGAGACCGCAACCAAGAGGAAGACTTGAGATAAGTGGGGGTGAACGAAAGGAGAACTCAGGTAGCCTGAGGCTATCGTGATTGAAGAACAAAACCCGCTAAAGGTTGGCTTCTCCACCGTGCCGCAGGCCGCCGACGGTGCGGCAGACATGCGGCAGACGCATCGCCGTCGTTTTACTCACCTCATCGAACAAGAGGGATAAGCACAAAGAGAGAGAGAGAGAGAGAGAGAAGAGGCGCAAGAGCAAAGGGGGTCTCTTCTCTTGGAAGGCCCATTGCGCCTTTCTTGACTAAAGAAAATGTGAGAGCGACGTGCTTGGCGAAAAGGCCCATTGAACGGATTTCATGTTTCTGGGCCTCTCTAGTCTTGAGAGGTTATTGGAGGTTCTACTACCACTTCGCGGCAGGAGCACCAAGGTTCAGGATTTGTTTGTCATTTGTGCTTTAACCATGTCCTATTTGTTTTTTCTGAAGATGTGGCCTGCGGTTCAAGGGTCTGTTCTCAATTCAGTGCTTTGTGTGTGTGTGCGCTGCCCTTAATTCGTTTTGGGGCAGCTTGGTCTCCTATGAACGTGACAACGTGAGACTAAGAAGAATCCCGCCTTGACGTTGAGAGATTATGCAGCCTAGAGATGATGATTAGCGTTGAGTGGCATTTCAGTAGCATTGAATTGTTTTTTTCAGTGTGAAAAGGGGTTGACTATCTTGGTGCAAAGGTGAGGGAGTTGGTTGCACCATGGCTGGGTTTGGGAGAACATCCAACCCGCACCTAGTAAAGGAGAAAACCGACTGCCCAGTGTCCTTAAGACAATTCTGGCGCTCTTCGTTGCCGGGACGTTCTTGCCTTCTGACTCCTGTTTGAAACCGGGGGGGACATGGGGCCACATCAGCATGAAGCTGATCATCCTGATCCCTTAACATGGAATTTGCCAGTCGACGAAAGGGGCCATCATGGCGTGAGGCGATGCGGAACGAGTAAACATACAACAAACAACTATATCCAAACACTCGATGTATTTTATGTATTGCATATTTAGACACATTGACCCCTCAAGGTAAATATGCCGTATATGGAGTGTTTGGATAGATAGCCCCACTACAGAGGCTGCTTATACGGTGCAACTGCCCATGCGCTTCAATCGCCGCAAGTCTATACGCAGTTGACGAGTTTTGCCAAGTCCGTATAATTACGCATGGAGAGCATCGCACTGCCCAACAAAGCGTGCCAAACTTGACCCCATAGATCCCCATAGATGTGTTAGACTCAACACTTACCACGGGAATTTCATTGCTTTTGACACCAACCCAGCCAACTCATCTCTGTCTTCTGCTTGTTTCGCGTCCAGGTGCCGTTCATTTCCACCAGGTGTCCCGGACAAACCTTGGGCTTCAGCTGGCGCATCTGACCTCGGCTTTTTTGTTCCACCGACCGCTTCGGCTCAAAGGCCTCCAGGCGAAAACGACCCCGAGGTCAGACGGCTGGGGCCCCGGGAGTCTGGGAGAACCGCCCACAAACGCCGATGGTGAATGATGGTGATGCACTTGTTCTTGTTCTATTTTTTTTCCGCAGGCTAATCAATAATTCATATTAAGGTCAACAGTTTTTGCTTTGGTGTTCGCGAACAGTTTAAAAGGGATTACCATGAACAAACACCCCGAAGCCATGTACAAATCGCGCAAAATGGAACGAACAGCGAAGTCATCCAGAAATCCTATTTTTTTGAAACACGCATATATTGTACAAAAAAGTAAGACGTACAAAAAAACAAACACACATGTGTCACATGTGCATCATATAGTAAGAGGTGCATCAATATGGTCGTCGCATGATGTTCACCAGCTCTGTTCCCTGGGCACTTCCGGCTGAGGAAGTTCCCCGCCGCCTGAATGGCAACGCCCACAGGAACCTGCTGGAGTGCTGCAGTGCCCCCGGTGTAGTCCAAACCATCCACCATATGAAATAAGCGCATAATAGCGCATATACATTTACAGTGGTCTCATGGTTCTCATGAAGTAGATGGCACAAAACCAACGATGTCTGACTTGGATGGGGAGATCCTTATAAACATAAATTAACCAAACTTGTTTCTGTTGTACCATCAAACCTCTGAAACCACCTGTACCCCATTAAAGTTATGTGACCCATACATGGAGACATGTTCCATACACCGGAGTGCTTCATCCAAGAACTTCCATGTTCCGACCCCATCGGACGTCCAAACGACATGGTCGGACGGTCAAGTCTCGGGCGTCACGATGTGACGAGGCTGTCTGGGCTTCATGTCGGGGTGGTTGAAGTCGGGGTCAATGTATCTAAATGGGACATTGTTCGGCCAAGGCCATTGCATACATGCAATATACATAAAGTGTCTGGCATAATAGGTGTCATAATCTGTGCGTCTGTCTTCTGGTCTATCAAGTTGTCTGCTGCGGCAACCCACTCGGCTACCCGCGTTTGTTTCCAGCAGGCCTGGCTCGGCGTTTCCACGCGCGGCCGTTTGAGCGGTGGCGGCAAGATCTGCGGCCTGCGCAGGAGAGCAGAACGGCCAACGGCAGCAATCACACTGTAAGATACTGTAAGGGCCAAACCCCATGAAGAAGTGATCCCTACTGTTTGAGATACACCAGGATGTATTGTCTGCAAATTCGTAAGCCTTTTTTAAAGTATTTTTGCACATGAAAAAACATATTTGCATATTATGTGCAGTAATTCTATGTACGGGAGTTCTTTTTGTAGTCATGCCTTCCCGGGTAGTCAACCAACTTCCAGAACTCTTCTATGAAACATCCCAAGCTCTGTCCTGTTGCTGGGACCTATCGGCCACAGACCGACCGCGTCGCCTGCGCCAGTTCACGGCTGGGCTCCCGGACTCCGTGCGCCATGGCGGCACAGGCGGTGGCGGTGGCGGTGGCGGCGGAGGGGCCACGGCAGGCCTTGCAACTGGTGTTCAGGGTTGATAGGCCCTAGGGATCCAGTCGTACCGAACCTCAGAAGGCATGACCGGACCCGACAATGGCACCCACCCACCCCAGTCCCACCTTCTGAGAAGGTACGACTGGATTCATGGTTGATAGGGATAGTTGAGGGCATTCGTACTAAACTGTCACAGGTGAAATTCGTTGAGAGACGCAGGCTACTGATCACACTTCGGCACCTTCAATCAAATGGACCCGAACCCAGTGATCCGGTGATCTTGATGAGGTACTTTCTAGGGCCACTGATCATACTTTGGCACCCATGGCTGTTGTAAGTACACTACAACAAACTATCATAGCCTCCTGCCAGAATCCTTTGGACAACTACCTGTCCCTTCCTCGCTGGGGGTTATCTTAGTCCACTGGAAGGTCTTAAAATAATATGTCTTAATCACTTAAATTAATCCTTGTCCACTGCTGGGCGTCCAAGTCACAAGGATTCCCTCTTCAAAGCAGCCGCCGCGGCCGCCGCCAACACCGGCACCTGGACATAGGCATCAAACGACGCACGCACGGGCACGTACTGGAAGTTGAGGTCGCCCAACTAGATCGCAAGTGTGAGGAGAAAAAAGCACATCCGACCTGCAACTTGCCAGATCATTCCATGCGTTCCCACCTCCACCTGCGTCCGATCCTCCTCAGCGGCCGCCTGTGCATAGGCCGCAGCCAGCGCCGCGTAGCCCTGCAACCAACGGTGGTGGGCGAACCCTTCATACGAGGCTTAATCAATTATATAATCATAATGTATACAAAAATATACCACAAGTGCTGCCTGCCAGGACTGTCCTTGAAACATAAATATATATAACATTGCAGAACTGGGCGTTTGATCATGTTTGAAAAATCAACATGATCAAGAAATAAATATAATTGACAACCTACTGGAGGCAGCAATAGAAGCCAACTAGAAACAGTTTGTTGAGGCAATTTCTTCAAGGCAACTATGCCAGATAACAAAGAAGAGCGGCTAGCCACTGATCAACTGGTACCGAAGTAACTCCTTAGCTCGAAGTCAGCCATTGGATATACTGCCAGAAGCCAAGGGGGAAACAAAAAAACATCATCTTGCATCTAGTCCAGCGTCTGCTCTCAGGATTCCGAGCGACGGCAACATAGAGCTTGAGCTAGGAATTACGAAAACTACTACTTGACCGAATGAGAACAAGCTGCTGACAGTGACATGAAACACCATGAAACTCATAACTAGATCACCACAGTAAACATAGTAAACATCGTTATAAGCATCTCAAACACCGCCTTTCGTGGCCTGCCTTTCCGCCTCCGGCCTGCGCCAGGGCCTCCGGATCCAACGGCTCCGCTTCGACCTCCATGTCCGCTTCGACCTCGCGCCCTCTGCGCAGCTCGGGGCGGGTCTTGGCCTCGCTGCGAAGACCGCCGAGACGGTTCATGAAACATTGATGGCGGGACGTCGATGGCGTCGGTTTTCATGTCTCATGTTCACGAAGAGGAGGGGCATTAGGAGGACCATTGGGCCGGTGGGTTCGGATCGTGCGGTCCAGTCTGGGAGCTGAAGCAGTTTTTTTGGGGGGTGACACGTGTTCGAAGCAAAATTAGGAGAGCAAGTGGGTGAAATGCGGACCTCCGCATTCCATAGCTTTAACATGTTTTCATTATAGAATCCAAGTCACTGCAGCTCGTATCTTCATCCCCTCGGGCGTCGCTTGGCGCTTGGCACCCTTCTTCTCCGGCGGCTCATCCGGCGGCTCAGGCACGGTGCGCCGTACGGGGCGCCCAGCGGCAGCTTTCGGTGCGGCTTTGGCTGCTTGGGCCTCGTCGCAGCGGTTGGTCCACTGGCAGGGCAACCCGTCAATGCAGTTGCCCCACAGGACGTGTCCGAGGGCATCTCTAGCAGTCAGCTATGTACAGTCGGACTTTCCTGAGACAAAGAACAGCCTTAAGCAGGTTCCATTTCAGAAGCAGTCAGCCATCGCGACATGGTTTTCCTTTCGGTTTGTCTTGACCAAGCCACTCTGACAGGGTCCGCAGCGTTCTTCGGTGGCTTCGGCTTGCCACTCTGTGCCTGCATGCTTCGCCGCATGATCTCTATATATGTGGTGGGCTACAGAAAAAGGTGAGAGTAGTCGACGGAAAACATTGGATAAATTTGTGTCTTCAAGATGAGGAAGTTGCCAAGTCGGACTTGGAAAATGGATGAACATGGCGTGAAGGCAAACACACTGAGTGTCCTCTTGACTCCGAGTCTCCCCCTCTTGAACTGCACCCCAAAACGAGTCTTATCTTGCTTTTGCCGTGAAGATCAGTTAAAGAACAAAGGCTGCAGCCTTGGCGGCAGCTTTAGGCGCCTGGGCCTGGGCGAAATTCAGGTGATCAAATCTTTTTGATTGTTTTTGAACGTGTTCAGGAGCCAAACAAGCCTTTCTGAACATGAGGAAGTACTCCCACGGATCCACGGATTGACCGATGGACCCATGAAACCCAGCGGCAGCGAGAGGGTCCACATCGTTCTTTGGCGGCTTCGACTTGCCGCTCTGTGTTGCCTGCGAGCAAGTCGGTCGCTCGCACGATCTCGGAATCAGAGACGGAGTGAGGAGCAAAGCTGAAATCAAGCAAAAAGTGAAAGGGAAACGGGGGTCAGTCCAGAAATGAGGAAGACCCCCCCGCCGATGGGTTTTGAATAAGCAAGAAACTTCTTACCAGTGAAATCCTGGCTTGCACACCAAACAATCAGTCAAGAAAGCAACGTCAGGCAAAACAGAAACAACATAAGGCAAACACAAGAAAACACCAGTGCCTCTGCCGCCTTTGCCACTGGTTTCTTGGCAGCCTCGGATTTCACAGCAAAAATGCATCCCCTTATAACATGCAATGAAAACAAAGGACCTCATTGGGGGCCCTGATGCGTCCTTCTGTATGAACATGAAAATTATCACCAAAATTCAGCACTCTATCACCCAAACTGAGGTTTTTTTTCACCCAACAAACATCTGATCCCAAAATCCCCAGTAGATGGATCACGGTCAATCTGGAGCCTCATCATCTCTATTAATTTCACTCACTTTCACATGCACTGCATCGACATATATATATATATACATATACATACATTTGTCGATGTGTAAGTATATGAACTTCTAATACATAAGAACAGTTACACACAACCCCACACACACGCACCCAACCCACACGTCAGTCGCGTCAGCCGCAGCTGTTGACCAGCCGCGTCACCTTTCTGGCCTCCGTCGTGCGGCACGTGCGGTCCGCGTGTTGGCTGCTGGGCGTCACCTTTCCGCCCGGCGCGACGCCCGGTGCTCCGACCTTGCGTGGTGGGGGGGGGGCTGGTCCGAGCGTCCGTCATGGCTAAGCTGGCTAGGCTGACCGAACGCGCCGGGTCCGACTGGGTCAAAGCTTGGCGAGTTTGGAGTATCCACCAGTAAGGTCGAAGCTGGTGGAGACCCTCCTTTTTTGGCCTTCTCAAAAGGTGTCATGGTTCAGGAACTGAGCAAAAACATATTGAAAACATGGATGTTTTAGGATGTTTCAGGCGTTATGCAAGATTCATGCCACATACCAACGTTGGGACCATGGAGCCAGACCGGATTACCTCGTGCATCATGCCCACTAAAAACCAGGAAAAAACATGCTGCCATGCGGCCTCAGACTGGTTCATGTAACATGATGAAACAAGCATCTGCTGCACTCCTTCCCCTAAATGTGTCTCCGAGCTGCATCTGTGACCTTGGCCTTCTCCACGTCTGGTGCCACCTAAATAACCAGCATGACGTAGCCACACAAGCTCAATCAACATCTGAAAAACAAATTGGTCCTCGGGCCGCAGCCACATACAGACGCATCAAAGAGGTTACTACCCCATCCATACACCAAGGACTTGGGTTCATCCACTTTCTGAGAACTGCTTGACAGACTCTGGAAATGGGGGAAACAGTTATATAACTATGACTTCTGCTAAAGGGCCTTCAATATCAGATTCCAAGAAATTACTAGACATAATCTGCCAATCATCTGTTCGCAGCAGCCATCATTGGGCTGACCAACTTGGGGTGCCAAAGTTCTAGAGTCTAGAGCTATCAAACGTTGAACCCATTTGTACGGACACGTGCTTTGCTTATGAACGTAAAACTAAAAAAACAAATATATATAACTGTCCCGCTATAATATATACCTAAGAAGGGAGGGGACGAAAGCCAGCCTCTGGCTTAGGGGGTGCCCTCAGGGCAGGCCTGGGCAAAGACTTCGCGTGCAAGAGGAAGTGATGGGGTAACATCGGGCAAAAATTAGCTTCATGGGGTGAAGTTGACATCGCAGGCACACACATAGGGGGTAGAAATAGAAAGTACAAGACATATAGATTTGGGGGGGTGCCTTTTTCGTCTCGGTTCAGGGACGATTTGGAGGTGAAAACGGGCACCCCTAAGGAAGTGAGGCGCGCTTGCCTGCGGCGTGTTGCGAATCAATGAGTTCCATTTCCGAGGCTATGGGTATAGGGTAGGTGAGGATACATATATGTATGTAGGTAGAGTGGACGAAGAGTAGCCAAAAAGTGGTGAGGTTGATATTGGAGCGACTTGAATGTGTAAGATGAAGTGATCGGCTAACATTATGTAAAGAGTACGTTTATGGGGGGAAGTTGGCATCGCAGGTAGAAACAGAAGGTAGAATTAAAACGGGGTGCCCTTTTTCGTCCTGGTTCGGTGAAAAAGGGCACCCCTAAGCTATTCAGAACCTTCCGCCTCCAACGCTTGCCCGCTGCAATCTCTTCTCTCTCCTCCCCTCAACAACCCCCCCACTCCACGTGAACTCCCTCCAGTTCTCTCGCAGGCCCTCAACAAATGGCATCATGCACCCCATATGGGGTGCCCTTTTGAGTCTAGTAACTAGACCTTCAACGCTTGCCCGCTGCAATCTCTTCTCTCTCCTGCCCTCAACAACCCCCCAATCCACGTGAACTCCCACCGCATAGGGAGTGCCCTCTTCAGTCCGGCAGCAACGCTAAGCTTAGCCGCAACTACAATCTGTTCTCTTTCTATAGCCTCCTGAGCCCTTCATGATGCTGATGATGCACTACGGGCCGTCAATTACATCACCGGCATCCTAACACCCCCCAAAAACAACTCATTTTCACTACCAAGTGGCCCACATCTTTTTTTTCGTTCTCCCCCACCAGGCTCTGGGTTCACCTCTCCGAAATTGGCCACCTCGCGACCACCCCCACCCCTTTAATCTGCCTCAAGCCTTGCCTATCGGCTGGCTTTCGTGATAGATATACATTATATATAATGTATATACATAATTCAGAATATCTTGTGACATTTGTGGTCTACGGTCTCCGTGTTCTCTTTTCCAACCTCCCGCTTCTTCACCCCCACCCTGACCACCCCCTCGGCAAGCTCCCGCTCTGGCCTGTTTGCCCTGCTGCAAGGGCTTCTCCAGCGGTGGTGCTGGGGCCTGGGCTCCGCACCCAAGGGATCACCGGCCATGTACCGAACTTGCTGAGACACAACCCGGGGTATCCTCTCTATGCAACCAAGAGGGGCATCAGGCCATCTATGGTTTGACAGGTCAAGAAAAAGAGAGGCCATGCAAGTTCGTGTTTAATAGCTGATCTTGCTTAGTGCGCTTGCCCGCAAACAAATGCATAACATCTAGCACATGTGAAACAAAGCAATGGGACATCACCCCAACAAAGGGGAATAAGAGTTTCAAATGCGGATTCTAGGCTGTGAGAGGGCCCATTGAATACGTCGCACGCGACACTCGCAGTCTTCAGGTCACCGTGCGACCGAAGTTTGGAAAACGTCCAAGGCTGGCTCGTTGGTCTGCAGGTCTCTGTTCTTGTTCTTTCTTGAGTGAACTATGTCAACTGCTTGGCTGGGTCAATCATCGAAGCGTAGTGCCAGCATCCAACAGCATGCAGAAAAGAACCCATCGAAGGAGCAACACGTCCAACCTATTCGTCCAATCTCTTCGCCAAGCGGCCGGAACTGTCGCTCTCGCTCTCGCCACACCGTCCACTACATCGATCTCATCGGTCTCCGCCTGGCAGGGCTGGGGGGCTGCGAGGGAATGAGAGGAGTTGTTTGGCCCTTCTCTCTATTTAAGATTGGGAATGATTGTGTTGTTGACAGGGAATAAGACAGGGAATGATCTCCGAACATCCAAGATTCTCTCTCTCTCTCTCTTCATTGCCCTCTCCGAGTTAGCCATTTGGCATCATTTGGCATCCAGGCGAGCATTCGATGCCAGTCATGCGTTCCAGTCATTTCGGACAAGCGAACTGTTTAACTCGACTGCTTCGAGGCAGTTTCGTGTGCATGTACAGAAACGTCATTCGTTTTGCCTTCTTCACCTGCAGTGGGCCCCGAGTCCGAGCAGGAGGGACTGGTAAAGGCCCGGTTTCCGCAGCCGGTGTCGCTGCAGCCGGTTTCGCTGCAGGTTGCACCACCTCACATGGGTCACGTTAACCACCCAAGTTGTTGACTTGGTGAGGTGAAGGGGAGAATGGATAGGAATGGGAGGGATAAACAGAAAAACAAGAACACACAAATCCCAAACGCTCCATGTATGCCATATATGCCTACATTGGGGTGGCTTTGGGGGTCAATGTAGGCATATATTCCGACATGGAGTGTATGGGAATTGGAAAGTCCCAATATTGCTGGAATTGGGCACTGGCGTCAGAAAGCTCATCATTTGCAGGTCGTTCCGCCAAAGCATGAACAATCATGAACATGAATCTGTTTCTCGTCGCCACTGCGACACCGTCAAGATCCACTGTCCCAGCCTACTGCTGTGGTATGTTTGCACTGTTGCCCATTCCGTCACCATTAATAGCCCTGGCAGAACTGGCAGAACCAGCGAATCGAGTCGAAATCCGAATCAGCTTCATGAGCCCCTTGGGCCCCCAGGCCACCGAAGCATCCCGACGGACCTGGAGGTCGCATCCATCAAGCGCGAGGGACAGATTCAATCAACCAAGAGGCTATGGTTGCTATTGATAGCAAACATTGCTCCTAATAGTAAGGCCAGTTTCGCCCCGTTCCGTAGCGTGACTTCACGCTCCGTTCGGTTCGCGATGCCCGTTGAATCCTCCGTTCGTAGCTTCTTGTTCCTAGTAGAAAGGTGTCATTTTCCTTTGGTCTTGTTTCTTTGTTTCTAATAGCAATGGCCTCCGACCAAAGAGCGATGGCCTCCAACCTACTAGCGATGGCCCCCCAACCTAG